TGGGAGGGGGGAGGGGGCTAGGGGCTGGCCGGCCCGGCCCCGGCGGCATCAAAACGAGCTCACGCCGCGTCACGGCAGCCGTCGCCGCCCCCGGCCGCCTCGCTCAGCTTCAGATTTCGCGCCGAGTCGGTGCGGCGGCGACGGGGGCGGGGGCGTGCCTTGCGTCTTCGTGTCCTCTCGTCGACCTCAAACTAATTTCACGCGGAGGCGCGGAGCGTCGTTCCCGATTCGTGGCCTTCATAGCGAGGCAGATGGTTCCGTCGCGAGCGTTCGCAAGCGCAGGGCCCGCCGGCCCGGCCAGGCTGCGGGCCGCACCAGAGATAGGAGGCAAGAAGGGGAAACTCGGGAGGAAACCCGAGCAAACCCCGCGCAGCAATGGAGATGGAGACGGGGCTGCGGCCGGCCGGCCTGGGGCGGCTGGCCGGCTGGAGAGAAAGAGAAGGAGGTCTACTGTGGAGGGGGGGATGGAGGGGGGAGGAAGCCGCGCCGCACCAGCAGCGCCAGCGCCGGATGAAATTGAATCAGTGTCGTGTTTGTGTTGGCAGTCCTGACCGCCTTGCCGAGCGGCCGGGGGGTGCTGCTCCCGAAAAATCGGAGGGGAAGACAGCGGGATAGACTAGAGAGACAGACAGACGGATGGACGGACGGACGGACGGACGGACGGACGGACGGACGGACGGACGGACGGACGGACGGACGGACGGACGGACGGACGGACGGAAGGACGGACGGAAGGACGGACGGAAGGACGGACGGACGGACAGACAGACAGACAGACATTACATTACATGCCAGAAAAGGAAAAGAATTGCAGATGGCATACTAAGAGAAAGACGGATTAAGAGATTTAGAGAGGTTTTTGTCTCAGGAGTATGAGAGCGCCTGGTAGGTAGGCAATTGATTGCACTCGTCTTGGGCGGGTGGCCTACTCTATGGCCCGCGGGGGTCCAGCTGCGGAATGAGATGGAGGGGACGGTGGATTGCAGCACGCGCTGGGGAGCACTGAGGAGTTGAAGAGTCGGCGACTTCCCCATTTGGCCGAGGAGGAAACGACTGTCCAACTTTGTGTCGGCCGGATTACGGATTACCCGGATTACCTTTGGAGTATGAGTATACTACGGATTACGTTGCACCTCCTCTAATGTAAGATTACCGCGGATTACCCGCCCCCCCCCAAAAAAAAATCCCCGGATCACCCCGGATTATTTCGAATTTCTTTGGATTACACACCTGCTGTCAGCCGGATTATCCTAGTCGTATCCCCCACGCATTTGCCGCTCCGTTAGCAAAGCGGGTAGATTGGGTGCTAAAACCAACCATCGCTGGGGCAAAACAAAAGAAAGCCTCCTTCGAGGTGTCCCTACCTACAATAAACATCCCCTGAGAAAGAGAGCCGAAGAAATTTGGGGAGTCCTTTCCGGATACATACACTGTAAAAACTTATTGTGAAGTGACAACAAATATCGTGACAAAACATTCATTTTGGCCTATAGAACAAATGAGTTGTCTCATGTGTGATGACTCCTTTGTTTTAATGGTAATGACAAATCAGTCGTCACACTGCATGAAACAAATCATTTATCCCCGGACTAATGTTTTGTCACATGACTGAAGATTTGTAATGTCTTGATTACAGGCCACTTGTCACTTCACAAAAATGTTATCACTTGATTGAGCAGCCGTCACGGAAATCATTGCGAATCCGGTACAGTACAACCAGGCTAAAGGGACGGCGCAGATCACCCACCCTGTGAGCCCTCGCCTCGCACTTGGGCGCTCTGGGTGGGCCGGCGGCTTCACACAGCTGTCTGGCGGGCTGGCCTACCCACCGCGTGGCAGGCGCTTGCATTACCGAGCATCGCCTCGTGAAACGTTTCTCGGATGACATAATAAGTTGTGCTCCAAATAATGTGTTTTAATTCCCAAACAATAGTTTATTATTGTCTTTATGAAGCGCCGCATATATAATCTCTGGGCGACGGAGGCTGGGGGGTGGCTCGAGATGGCTACAGAAGCGGCGGTGGCAGCGGGACGTGTATGACGTCACTCGTAGCGCCCGTAGTGTCACTGCAGACGCGTGCAGCGGCAGCGGCCTCAGCGCACAGCAAGCAGTCGGGCGCCGTCGGGTGCCTGTAGAGCAGGCGGTACCTCGGTGCTTGGGGGGACGCCGTCGCGCTTCTGCAGAGGCGAAACATTACGTGGATCGGCATGGGTGCGCGGCGCACCAAGTCCTTGAGCGCCAGGATCAGCAGTGCGGCCGTCGGGCAGCCTGCCGACACAGTGACAGGGTCTCAGCATTGCACTGACAGAAAGCAACAAGACAAAACAAGGGCGAACGGCTCACCTCGACCAAGAGAACAATCGGAACAATTGTCACTGCTGCTCGTGAGGACGAGCAGGTTGAGTGCGTACACGGCTGAAGGTGAGGGGTCGATGAACACCTTTGGGTGAGGTCGGTGTTGGACGAGGAAGACCGAGTGCTGGTAACGGAGAGATAGAAGAGTCGACCCTATATCCAGAGCGAGGCGTTGGATGAGGTTGGACAACGCGCTCGATGTTGAGGGCGGTGGTTGGCTAGGCCACGAACTCAAAAAGTCTATGACCTGCGAATGAGAAACAAGGTCATGATTGCCGACAGGGTGAGGCAGAAGGTCGGAGGGACAGGTCACTCTGCGCACCTTTTCACAAAACATTGCGGAGGTCATGCTGATCCCAAGCTCTTCTAGTCCTCGCATACGTGGCGTTGCCGCGTGAATGTGCTTGTCGGCTTCCACGGTGAGCGAGTCACCGACGCTGGAGGTCTCGACCGGCAGCTGCCCACCACTGGAAGCATTCGAAAAAGGTTCAAACGCCGGCAAGTTGAGGTTGTGCGCGTCTGGGCCCTTGTTGTTGCAATGCACTTACCTGCTCCATGGCAGCAGTGCGTGGTGTTTCTTACTGAGGGCCTTGAGGAAGCTCGACAGAGCCCCACGTGGGCGAAACACCATGTCGTCGAAGGAGTTGTAAATAGCAGCAGGCGCCTTTCCCTGCGGCCCACCAAAGCCTAGCAGTGCTTCGGCGTGCAGGTTCTCCCGGCAGCCGAAATTCTGCAATTTTCGGAAGAGACCAAGCGGCCACTGGCTTTCTGGCAACCCTGACCTTAGCGGCACCCCGATATGCTCCCGAATGTGTGCTGCTACCCTCTCCGTGACGAGGCCAAACACCGTAAAGTCACTGCAGGCAAAAGGTTACGTTACATTACACACGGGTCTCTCGAGCCACTGACACGTCGGAATCGGATTCAGCTAGCCCATCCCCTCCTTCCCTCACCTAGTGCTGTTCGGATGATCGAAATAGAGGCACATAAACGGATCGGACGGACCCCGCCAATCATAGACGACTGTGTACTGCAAACTGGCAATGCGAGGGATGACTCGGAGCATGGCCATCAGATCCCCGAGCTGATGGAAGGAGGCCTTCTTGCCCCGCCACAGCGCCCGGCACTCCCTGCTCAGCGCGGCCACGCGGGGGAGCGCCTGCCCGGCGGCGCACAGGTCCTCGACTGACAAGTGGGAGAGCACCCTCTCCAGCGCCAAGTCGGGCAGCGACAAGATGGTCTGCAATCGGCATCGCGAATGAGGCGACCCCAGAGCAAAACATATATGTGTGCTTTTAACGGCAAGAGCCCAACAAAAAGTACAGAGCGTCTTTAAATGACAATAACGTTGAGATATATAAAAACTTTCACGTTCAAAGATTGTAACCATTCCCTCCGGTTCCGTCGCGTCCTCTGTCAGTTCGTCAATAATTACCGGTGGATTGCGTTTCGCCGAAGCGTCCCTCGACGGTCGTTTAAGCTTGGACAGCATCACTCTACGCCCCACTTCTCCTGACGAGTTGGGGGAGTGTCGTCATGGAGTTTGGGGACCACAAAGACCACAAACCAACAAAGGTAACCTAACCTTCAAACAGAGACGCAAATAAGGCTTTCAGACCTCTCAAAGTGATGCGGCGGTCACGCGGTGGGGCTCAAAAGTGCGGGTGTTTGATTTTACTGCTGGGCGGGGCGAATCAAACACTTGGTTCACACATACGCACACACGAACACACTAAACTTTTGAACGCGTGGAAGTGTTCAGTTCAAGTGTTAAATTTGAAAGTTTGAAAACTTTTACACGAATAGCTTTATAGTTCGACACTTGCATGTACTCAAATTTGCAGGGAAACACCGGTACCGGTAGGTCTTAAAGACTTGAAAGTTTTTGCCGGTGCACGTTTCAGACCTACGCCATACACGCGCATGATAGGAAGTCTGCACATTACCTAGAGCGTTCCTCGCCTGTCTCCAAAACCAGTGTTCTCCCTCCGGAGGACGGCCGGCGACTGATTCTGAGTATCGGTACCGGCCAGCGACCGGCCAGCGGCCAGCCGGCTCTCATTTGTGAGCGTCAGCTCTTCTTGAACATCAATACCACCGCGCCCCACGGGCCGTGACGTATGCAATGCCGGGTGCAGCTACGCCCGCCGTGGCGACGTATGGGTGTCAACGGGATGCTGTCAGGGTGTCAACGGGATGCTGTCACTCTTGCGCTCAGCCTCGTTTTCCAGGGCATATGTCCTGGCCGAGGCTGGAGAGACAGTGTTCTCATTCAATTCACCACGCAAAGCGCGCAGGGCCCACGCCAGGTCCTGGCTGCTGCGCGCCGGGCGCCTGACGAGGAGGGGGTAGGCCACCCGCCCGACACCCGCGCGCCCGCGCTGCCTACCGCGCGGTCTGCCTCTCGGCCCCCGCGCCGCCCTTCCTTCATTGTCGTGCAGCCCAGTGCGGTACCAAAGTCCCGTCCTGCCGTGGTCCGTTGTGGCCCTTCTAGAGTCCCTGCGCGGATAGGGGGG